CTCTCTCTCTCTCTCTCTCTCTCTCTCTCTCTCTCTCTCTCTCTCTCTCTCTCTCTCTCTCTCTCTCTCTCTCTCTTTCTCTCTCTCTCTCTTGCGAGCGCGCGTGCTGGCTCGCAAGCGCTCGTTCGAGCGCTGCCTTCACTTTCTCGAACGGCACGCGCGAACCTGGAATGCCATTCGAGAACGGGGCCACACCCTCATGTGCTCACCTCGACGCCGTGCAGATTTTTTTTTCTTTTTGCGATTACTGCGACTCCCACGCGTCCTGACACCCCAACAGATCCCCACAGTTGGTCCCCAGGCAGTGTAGCGGCGCTAGGCACCGAACCACGGAATTGAACTCCACGTTCGGGCGCATTAAGACTCTTCAAAACAGAAAACGAGTGTTCAATGAACGCGCGGATTCATAGACCCTTCGGCCCCAAATCTGTTGCAATCAATTGCATTTCTTTGTTGTGCTGAAACGGGGGGACACACGGCTAGTAGGGACATTCCTTTCAAGGGGATCTTGACTGGTCTTACTGCATGTTCTCACATATTGCCCCGTGTCTGACTCGGCGACGGTCTGCACCCCTCGAAATCTCCATTGTTTCATATAGTTTTCTTGCATTTGACTTATTCGTGGTACATGTTCTATGTTGGGTTAAACAAGAGGGGATCTCTGGTCTGTTCTGACCGAACTCATTCATTAAGTTAGACCTCTCTTTGAATTTTTATTATTTATTTTAATCTGTTGCGTGGATGTTGTTCTCTCTTTGAATTTTTATTATTTATTTTAATCTGTTGCGTGGATGTTGTTCTCTTGTCCAAATGAATTGTCGCTACTGCTAGGAGTTCTACCTTCTCTTCTGTGAATTATCTTCTTATGTCTTTTATCTGAAGATTATGAACTATCTATGTCCAGTATTGAGACGTGTGCACAAAAAGCGGAAAGAGAGAGAAGGGAGAGAGACAATATTCTTTTTTAGAGTCTGAGGAGGGGTAAGAGAAGCGTTCGTCCAAACGTGAGCAAAGAGCGGACCCCTCTTGAGAGATCTACTCACACCCCATCCTTCGGCATGGCATACATCTCATCTGCCCAATGGCGGCCTATGCTGGACACAGCGGATGAGAGCGAGAAACTGTTCTTTGTGAAACTTTGTGAGGATGCAGTACAGTGAGAGAGGGAGGCAGAGGCAGGAGCTAAAGCAACAAGTATAGCTGCCCAAGTTGCTCTCCTCGCTGTTCTGTGGATCAGTGATAACCGGTTCAGAGAGAAGTTAGCCGTTGTTGTAGCAGCCTTGGTTCAACTGCAGACATTGGAAGATCTTGAGTCGTGCATGACAGTTCTAGAGCAGCGGAGCCAAGAGCTGCCGGCTGAGATTGTAGGCCTCAAACAGGCCCAACTGACTTTCCCTCAGCCCCTAATCCTCGTCCTGCTGTTGTCCCAGTCGTTCCCCATAACACAGTCCTCATGCAGAGATCCAGTGGAACTGTGACGAGTGAAGGAACTGGTGTCAGTTGTTCAAGCGGCAACGCCGACAGTTCTGCAAAGTTTCAAATACACGGTCACCAGCCCAAAACGCCGCAGTTCCTACTGGCGTACAATACAACGGTCCCATGGTGGACAAGAGGGTGGCCACGCTGCCGTCCAAGTACGACGAAAAGGGGGATATCACCTCTTGGATCAGCTCCATGCGCTCATACTTTGGGGTACCGCGAACATCGCATGAAGACCGAAGTATGATCATGGGCACAAATATTGATCCCGCCGTATGGAGTTTATTGAACTCCAAGCCGTCAATGCAGGTTATGAAAGAATTGACCTGACTAAGTGGCTGAAAGTGACTCCTGTACGTACTCTTGCGGGCGTCCTCATCGCGCAATATCAAGATAAGCACGCTGCACTCAAGGCAAGGCTGAGACTTGAGGCCCTCAAGGGCCAAAAGTGGAGGGCTTCCATGCAGGTTTTGGAACAACATTTGACTAGTCTGTTCACTACTCTTAACTTGGGATGGACTGACATGTCTTGCATGGATGCAGTAATGGGAATGGCCCCCGAAGATTATGTCTCGCGGCTAGGACTCAAGGAGCATACGACTTGGCGATAGCTCTTATCGGATCTAGTCAATCTAGAGGCCAAAGACCTCACCAGGCGTGCAAAGACACCAGCTGCAAGTAAAACTTTACAATGAAAGCGGTACGAAAGCAGCAACCAGCTTGCCCTGCATGAACATCAGGAGGCTGAGGACCAGTCCTATGCGGATGATCTGTCTCTAGATGACGACCTAGAACCACACTCCGAAGTGGGTTGTTTTACATCAGCCCTTTAGTCTGACATAAATGGTGAAGAAAAATGTAATGCCTTCAGAAAGACTACTTCAAGCAATTCAGGTAAGGGAGCAATAACACACCTCCCCAAGAATGCAAAGATTCCTGAGAAGCCGGAGGATGCATCCACCTAGCCTTCGGAAGCCCTCCACATCAGTCAAAGAGAATGGGAAAGAAGATCCAAACTGCATGTGTGCTTGCATTGTGAAAAGCGTGGGCACGTTGTGCAGGATTGTTACCGTTTGCATGGAAACATGCAAAGGGTGTAGAAGAGTTATCAGCAACACTCTCTACAACAAGAGAAGTTGAACAATCAGTTGTAGGCCCCTCCAAGGAACCTGCATCCGACAAACAACTTGCTCTTGAAGCCCGGACCAATGTTGAATTCAAGGCCGCTGCAGTCCAAGTACTTTACACTGAGCCTTGGGAGGAGACTAAGGAAGTAAACTTTCATTCTCACTTGTAACACGGGCTATAGCTCAAGCACCAGCGTCGTGTTCAAGGGAGTGTAGAGCTGGTCTTCTTTAAGCTGCCCATCAACTGTCGATACATCCTCGTCTTGATTGATAATGGCTCCACAACTAACTTCGTTTCTCCTAATGGGATTCGTAAGGCGGGCCTGGGAATGAAGAAAGTGGAATTGCAGAACCCCTGTCAGACCCGGGGAGGCAACCAAGAGGTTGTTACCTCAACACATGCTGTCAAAGGTGTATGTGTCACCTTTGACAAAGATCGCACTGTCACACCCGAGCATTCAGTCAAACACAAGATCGAGATAGTAGAAGGGGGTTTCCTCCAAAGGGTTGTGTCTACCGTATGGGGCAAGGCGAGTTGGAGGAGTTGAGAAGACAGATTGATGACATGATTGATTGTGGATGGATTAGGCCTAGTGAGTCTGAGTCGCGTGCACGTGTCCTATTTTTGCCGAAGAAAGGAGGCAAACTTCGCATGTGCATCCACCATCATGGACGAAACCGTATCACTAGAAGGAACGCTTATCCCTTGCCACACATAGATGATTTGTTGGATGCTGCAAGTGGGTGCAAGATCTTCTCTAAGATCGACCTCTAAGATCGACCTCAAGTCTGGCTACCACCAGATTGAAGTTGATCCGATTGACCAGCACAAAACTGCGTTCAAGACATACGATGGGCTGTACGTATTTATCGTTATGCCCTTCGATCTCACGAATACACTAGCCACATTTCAGTGCCTCATGGACAAGGTTCTCTGCCATCAGGTCAACAAGTTTGTTGTCGTTTATCTCGATGACATCCTGATTTTCAGCAAGTCCATGGAAGAGCACATCAAGCACCTTGAGGAAGTTTTGCAAGTTCTCAAGGAGGCAAAGTTGCACCTCAACTTATAGAAATCTGAGTTTGGAAAGGATAGCGTTATATATTTTGGGCACCGGTTGTCTGCAAACAGCCTTGAGCCAGGGGCAACCAAGGTTGAGGTCGTACGAAAGTGGCCTCAACCGACAAATGTACTTGAACTGCATTCCTTTCTTGGTTTGGCTTCGTATTACCGGAAGTTTGTACCCAAATGTTTTGTCATTGCTCACCCACTCTCGAGACTGACAAGCAAAAATATCACTTATGTGTGGTGTGAGAAATGTGAGACTGCATTTCAAGATTTGAAAGAAGCTTTCGTAAGTCATTTTGTGCTCCACATTGCGGATCCCAACCTCACATTCGTGGTCACTACGAATGCGAGCCAGTATGCGATTGGCGCAGTGCTGCAACAAGATGATGGTGATGGTCTGCGTCCGCAGTAGCGGTTAATGGGAGGCCCAAAATTAGGGGGTTTTCGCCGCAGCACTACAAACAATGTTGTCGAAACTTTTGCGAACAAACTATGCAGGGTCATAATACAAACATCAAACAAACGATCAAGCAAAAAAAA